GCATTCTTTATATTATATCCACTGTGTGACACACTGGACCCTCGCCCCCACGCACTCTATTAGGATCTACTGGATCCCCACGTGGGCAGTTTTTCAGCTATTTGGGACATTTATCCACTTAATTTCACCACAGTGTGATTGACAATTTTTGCACTATTTTGCATTTGATTATATTGCTACCATACACTCTATGTTTTTTATGTTTTTATTCCATTTTGTCTAATTTTATACATATCTAGCACTGCAGCTCTATTTATTGATATTTATTGATTGGAAGGTCTGTTCTTGGTTGCCTTTTTGGTGTTCTAGCAGCTTATCTGAACTTTGGATAGTGCTCGCTTACTATTTACTACCTTTTACATACCTTAGTTTGGGCCTAGTGATATCATCTCACTAGGGTTTTGTGCTTCTCTATGCATTGCTGGCAGATTGTGGCTGGTTGGTGGGGGCGGCGGCAGAATGATGTACAAATCATGAAAAGAACAGAACACTCATTATGCTGGTGCAAGCAGCGGCAGGCTTTACGGAGGAGTAATGCAAATATCAAAATGCCTTCTTGAGTGGATGTCAGTATGGAGGAGTAAGTGTTCCTATAGGCAGGCTCCAATTGCATGCAAACCACCCAGGGTAGTTCATGAAGCTGAACCTCCATAGTTAAAATCCAAAGAATGACCTGGAATCGGGAGTCCTGGGTCCCGATCGTTAGAACTGGACCCAGTGCCCTCAGTGACACCACAGTCTTTGTGCTGGTAGAGCGCCGTGTGGCATGCTCCCAGCAGAAAGACAGGTACCCAAATATGTGGCCCTACGGAAAAAAGCCCAGTTCTGTGAGACCACATATTTGTGTTACATCAGCGTCAAGGGTTAAGAACCTGTCACTATGGCAGCAACAGATTCTACAACACCCTTTATGTACCCCCCCCCCCCCCCCCCCCCTCTGTTGTTATAAATTCTATACTGTAGAGACTACTCTATGCAGCCACACATCATCCTGATTGAACCACAGAGACATCACTATGAAGAGTCCATATTTGTGCAGCTTTCATAATCTGTTTTGTATTATTCTGCAGTGTAGGCAAGCTCTTTACCATTCTGACCCTGACCATTTCCAGGTTTGCACACAGGAGAGGAGACCAGGGAATGGATGTTCCCCATACTCCTCCTGCTCTGCTCCCTATTTCTGCCATTATAAATTGTGGTCCTGGGCTCCCTGGAGGAGCAAGAGACCTTGGGGACCACCATGTTGGGGGGGGGGGTCCACCTGTAAGTATCAAAAAAGTGATTGGCTATCTCAACAGACACCCAGTTCACTTTTATAGAAATGTCAAAAACTTGCAGCACAAAATTGAAACAACTATAGGTAACGACTTGTGTTAATCTTTTTAGAATACTAGACATGTCCAAAATGCTAAAGAGGCTAATGAAGCTTTAAATACATCCTAATCCATTTTGCAGTCAAACATGTAAAAAAGGATGAAAATAAAAGCTTTCAAAGTGTAGTAGTGGCTGCAGTAGTTTTAATTTTTTAGGATAGGGACATTTTTAGCAAATGCACAAAATAATTAATGATCTTACTACATGACAAGCCCCTGTTACATGCTGTGAACTGAAAAGAAAGCACAAGCAACATGTCTTTCTTATATAAAAATACACCTCACCCCCCCAATTTACTTTTTGGCCTCTGCAGCTTTGACCCTCTTTCACTTTGCAGCCCTCTGCAGCTCTGTCTCCCATTCACGTTACAGCCCTCTGCAGCTGTGCCCCCCCCCCCTTCACAATACGGCCCCACCACTGCTGCCCCCCATTCACATTGCAGCCCCTCTGCAGCTATACCCCCCATTCACATTGCAGTTTCCCACAGCTCTGCCACCTCCCCTCAACATTGCAGCCCCTGCAACCCTGCCCCACCATTTACATTGCAGCCCCCCCCTGCAGCCCTGCCCCCATGCCCCCATTCACATTGCAGCCCCCCTACAGCTCTGTCACCCATTCACATTGCAGCCCTGCCCCCATTCACATTGCAACCCCCGCACAGCTCTGTCACCTATTCACATTGCAGCCCCCGCACAGCTCTGTCACCTATTCACATTGCAGCCCCCGCACAGCTCTGTCACCTATTCACATTGCAGCCCCCGCACAGCTCTGTCACCTATTCACATTGCAACCCCCGCACAGCTCTCTCACCTATTCACATTGCAGCCCCCGCACAGCTCTGTCACCTATTCACATTGCAACCCCCGCACAGCTCTCTCACCTATTCACATTGCAGCCCCCGCACAGCTCTCTCACCTATTCACATTGCAGCCCCGCCACAGCTCTGTCACCTATTCACATTGCAGCCCTGCCTCCTCCCCTTAACATTGCAGCCCCCACAGCTCTGCTCCCCATTCACATTGCAGCCCTTTGCAGCTCTCCCCCCCCCATTCATATTGCAGCCCCCCCCGCAGCTGTGCCCCCCATTCACATTGCAGCCCCGCCCCCCATTCATACTGCAGCTCCCTACAGCCCTGCCCCTGCCCTTAACATTGCAGCCTCCTGCAGCCCTGCCCCCCCCCATTCACATTGCAGCCCCCCCTGCAGCTCTACCCCCCCTTCACTCACATTGCAATCCCACTACAGTCAGCTGTGCCCCCTATTCACATTGCAGCCCCCACATCTCTGTCCCCTCCCCTTAACATGGCAACCCCCCGGCAGCTCTGCCCCCCATTCACATTGCAGCCCTTCTGCAGCATTGCCCCCTCCCCTTAACATTGCAGCTCCCTGCAGCTCTGTTTCCCGTTCACATTGCAGCCACCTGCAGAACTGCCCCCCTGCAGCTCTTCGACTCCTACCCTATTGTTTCACCTCAGCTGTCACCACCGCTGTCATTATCATGGAGAGAGCAGGACAGTTGTAAACAGAGAGCGGGAGGCACAGCCACTGTGGATGGAGGGCAGGAGCTAACAGAGTTAACTTTTCAAGTGAACTAGCAAACTTCTGGTTGCTAGGACTGCCCTGCCTTCTACCAATCACCTGCCTGCTGGTTAACGTAAAAAGGTAACGCCGACAGCCCTCACCCTCCATCCACAGCAGCTGTACCTCCCATTCTCTGTGTACAACTGTCCTGCCTCCTGCTCTCTCCGTGACAATGACAGCGGTGGCAGCAGCCGAGGTGAAAAACTGGCTCCTAAATGGCAGGACCATGGCGGTTCAGATGGGACAAAGTCTCAGTCCGGATCCAGACCACAGTCTGCCAATTAGAGATGCCTGCTCTAGTAGCTCATCAACAAACCTTTAATTTGTTTTACCTTTTCTGCTACTTTAAGCCTATATAAGTCCAATTGCTAAAATCTCATAAAGCTTTAACATGTTAATGTCATTTCAAAAGCGTTTTGATAGTCATCTCTGAGGTACCTGTAGAAAGGGAGTGGCTGCAAACAGGCTGCAGGATGTCAGCAGCACTGAGCAGTAACAAAGCAAAAAAAGTATTTTATTTAAAAATTGCAGTTAGTTAAGATGCCGTGATTTAGCTAACTAGATGCTATTCCATTATGCTTTATACATACATAAAATACTGTATACGGTCAATCAAAATACACTTCTTTTAATTGGATGTAAGTGTCACTGTGTAAACAGATGACTTTGTATCATTGTCATTTTGTAAGGACATTATTCCCCTTTCATTGTATGGTTCAATTTGTATTGTTTTCCTATCTGATTGGTTGCTGCTGATAAAAACCTTTATTTTCTCTATTTTTGTAAAAAATAAATCTTTCTCAGTAACATTTCTAAATCACATATCTGCAATGACATCGAAAAACCTACATCTCCCAAATACTGAGATTTTGGAAATATAGCACTAGAATTTCTAACTTTTCTCAAATTTGTTCACTTAAAATAAAATATTTTAAATACATTTCCATTTTCTCTGTTTATCTAATGTATTTATGTTCCAACTAGAGATGAGCGAAGTATTCAAAAATTCAATTCGACTGATTCGGCGAATTCGTGGAAAAATTTCGATTCGAGTCGAATATATTCGCTGTGAATTTAACTTAAAAAGGGTGTTTCTAGGCTTCAGAGAGACTTAATATTAGTGCAGAACACTGTACCTTTAATTTAAATGCCCTTGGAGTCTGCTGGGGAAGAGAAATAATACTGTCAGTCAGTATGACATGCAGATGAGTGCCGTCGATCTTAGAATCACCGCACACTTCACTCATTTGGGCAGTCACGGGGCCAAAACCAGAGTGTGGAGCCACAGTGTGGCGGTGGAGGCAGCAGCAATGGGAGGCCATACAGCACCCTATGACAAAAATGGAAACCACCAGCAGTGTGAGGAGACCTGAAAGTGGCACATGGCAGAGTGTGGCGATAGAGACAGCAGCAATGGGAGGCCGTACAGGGACCCATGACACACTCTGGACCTGGCAGCAGCATGAGGAGGCGGTACAGGGGCCCATGACAGATTACGGGCCTGGCAGCAGCATGAGGAGTCGGTACGGGGGCCCATGGCAGATTACGGGCCTGGCAGCAGCAATGGGAGGCCGTACAGGGACCCATGACACACTCTGGGACCTGGCAGCAGCATGGGGAGGCGGTACAGGGGCCCATGACAGATTACGGGCCTGGCAGCAGCATGAGGAGTCGGTACGGGGGCCCATGACACACTCTGGACCTGGCAGCAGCATGAGGAGGCGGTACAGGGGCGCATGACAGATTACGAGCCTGGCAGCAGCAACTTGGACAGGAGGACGTTCAGCTTCTGCACCGTCGGGTGCGTGCTCGCAAACTGTTGTCTCTTGGAAACGGATTCCAAGAAAGACTGCTGACGGAATCCGTGAAGAGGAGTAGCAGGAGAAGGAGCATCTGAACGAGCGGAATATGCCAACAAGCGACAACAGGGGCCCATGACAGATTACGGGCCTGGCAGCAGCATGAGGAGTCGGTACGGGGGCCCATGGCAGATTAGGGGCCTGGCAGCAGCTATGGGAGGCCCGTAATCTGCCAGCACCCTATGACAAAAAATGGAACCCACCAGCAGTGTGAGGAGACCTGAAAGTGGCACATGGCAGAGTGTGGCGATGGAGACAGCAGCAATGGGAGGCCGTACAGGGACCCATGAGAGACTCTGGACCTGGCAGCAGCATGAGGAGGCGGTATAGGGGCCCATGGCAGATTAGGGGCCTGGCAGCAGCTATGGGAGGCCCGTAATCTGCCAGCACCCTATGACAAAAAAATGGAACACACCAGCAGTGTGAGGAGACCTGAAAGTGGCACACAGTGTGGCATGAGACAGCTGTGGGAGGCCTGGACCCAGCACTCTGGACCTGGCAGCAGGAGGCGGTACAGGGGCCCATGGCAGATTAGGGGCCTGGCAGCAGCTATAGGAGGCCCGTAATCTGCCAGCACCCTATGTCAAAAAATGGAACACACCAGCAGTGTGTGAGGAGACCTGAAAGTGGCACATGGCAGAGTGTGGCGATGGAGACAGCAGCAATGGGAGGCCGTACAGGGACCCATGACAGACTCTGGACTTGGCAGCAGCATGAGGAGGCGGTATAGGGGCCCATGGCAGATTAGGGGCCTGGCAGCAGCTATAGGAGGCCCGTAATCTGCCAGCACCCTATGTCAAAAAATTCAACACACCAGCAGTGTGTGAGGAGACCTGAAAGTGGCACATGGCAGAGTGTGGCGATGGAGACAGCAGCAATGGGAGGCCGTACAGGGACCCATGACAGACTCTGGACTTGGCAGCAGCATGAGGAGGCGGTATAGGGGCCCATGGCAGATTAGGGGCCTGGCAGCAGCTATGGGAGGCCCGTAATCTGCCAGCACCCTATGTCAAAAAATGGAACACACCAGCAGTGTGAGGAGACCTGAAAGTGGCACATGGCACAGTGTGGCGATGGAGAGACACTGTGCCGTACAGGGACCCATGGCAGCATGGCAGCAGCATGAGGAGGCGGTACAGGGGCCCATGGCAGATTAGGGGCCTGGCAGCAGCTATAGGAGGCCCGTAATCTGCCAGCACCCTATGACAAAAAATGGAACACACCAGCAGTGTGTGAGGAAACCTGAAATTGGCACATGTTTGAGGCATGATTCATGGCGGATTTAGTCAGTTGTGTCAGGAACTGGTGGTTTGAAATCCAGACTAATCCACGCCTGATTCATTTTCACAAACGTGAGTCTCTCCACACTTTGGGTGGACAGTCGTGTCCTCCGCGGAGTTGCAATACCTCCTGCCGCACTAAACACGCGCTCCGATGCCACGCTACTGGCCGGGCATGACAGCCTTTCAAGGGCAAATTCAGCTAGTTGGGGCCAAAGGTCAAGTTTCGTTGCCCAGTAGTCAAGGGGATTGTCTACCTCGGTTGGCAGGGTGCTGTCCAAGTAGGCCTAAGCCTGTTGTTTGAGGTCCTGCTCCAGGTCCACCTGATGCTGCTGCTGCTGCTGCTGCTGCGGCTGGTTAGTAGTTTCCTCACTGCGCTGGTGAAGAAAGCTACTCATCATCGACTGCAGACTGAGGCAGCAGCCGCTGCTGGTGGAGCTGCCACTGCTCCTACCCACCCCACCCCTCCCCTGCTGCCATGGCAGCGGAACGCGAGCGCACAGGGCCCACAGTGTCTGAGGATGGACGTTGGCGCAGACAGGCAGAGACCAGCTGACTACATAGGTGGTTTTTATAGTACGTTATTTTGGCCTCCCTCTCAGCAGGTGTGAAAAAGGCCACCATTTTTGAACGGTAGCGAGGGTCCAACAAGGTGGACAGCCAAAAGTCATCCCTCTGTCTGATGGTTATTATTCGGCTGTCGCTACGCAAGCAACCGAGCATGCTATGGGCCATTTGTGCCAAGGAATGCGAGGGACTCCCTGCCTCCATCTCCACAGCATACTGCCACGGTGCGTCTGGGTCCTCTGTCTCCTCCTCCTCCTCCTCTACCAGATGCTCCTGCTCCTCCACTCCTGTCCGCTGAGTGGAAAAACCACCCATTTCACTCAATAATTCCTGAGCACAAATGTCCTCCTCTACCTCCTCCTCTTCTTCCTGTCCTGCCCCCACAGGGGTCATGTGGCGTTGAGATCTGTGCGCCACGTCTACCGCACCCTGACCAGCCATTGTTAACAGCATTTGTTCCAGGACGTGCAACAGAGGAATGACGTCGTTCATCCCATAGTCCTGCCGACTCACGAATAGCGTGGCCTCCTCAAAGGGCCTGAGCAAGCGGCAGGTGTCACGCATGAGCTGCCAATGGCTGACATCTAAGTTACACAGGGGAGTACCTTTATCCGCTTGTAACATCAGGAAATCGGTGATGGCCTTTCGCTGTTCGTAAAGGCGGTCTAACATGTGTAGGGTTGAATTCCACCTTGTTGCAACGTCGCAGATCAGGCGATGCTGTGCAATTCCGTTCTGCCGCTGCAGCTCAAGGAGGGTGTGCTTTGCGGTGTAGGAATGGCTGAAATGCATGCAAAGTTTACGTGACATTTTAAGGATGTCTTGCAGTGGGATGGTGGATTTTAGGAACCGCTTGACAACCAGATTGAACAGGTGAGCCATGCATGGCGCATGGCACAACCTTACTTGACGCAGAGCAGACACCATGTTCTTTCCGTTGTCGGTCAACATGGTTCCGATTTTCAGTTTGCGCGGAGACAGCCATCTGTCGATTTCTCTGTTCATTACACTGAGAAGTTCCCTCCCCTGTGTGACTACGTTCGCCTGGACCTGGCAGCAGCATGAGGAGGCGGTATAGGGGCCCATGGCAGATTAGGGGCCTGGCAGCAGCTATGGGAGGCCCGTAATCTGCCAGCACCCTATGTCAAAAAATTCAACACACCAGCAGTGTGTGAGGAGACCTGAAAGTGGCACATGGCAGAGTGTGGCGATGGAGACAGCAGCAATGGGAGGCCGTACAGGGACCCATGACAGACTCTGGACTTGGCAGCAGCATGAGGAGGCGGTATATAGGGGGCCTATGGCAGATTAGGGGCCTGGCAGCAGCTATGGGAGCCCGTAATCTGCCAGCACCCTATGTCAAAAAATTGAACACACCCAGCAGTGTGAGGAGACCTGAAAGTGGCACATGGCAGAGTGTGGCGATGGAGACAGCAGCAATGGGAGGCCGTACAGGGACCCATGACAGACTCTGCCTTGGCAGCAGCATGAGGAGGCGGTATATAGGGGCCTATGGCAGATTAGGGGCCTGGCAGCAGCTATGGGAGGCCCGTAATCTGCCAGCACCCTATGTCAAAAAATTCAACACACCAGCAGTGTGTGAGGAGACCTGAAAGTGGCACATGGCAGAGTGTGGCGATGGAGACAGCAGCAATGGGAGGCCGTACAGGGACCCATGACAGACTCTGGACCTGGCAGCAGCATGAGGAGGCGGTATATAGGGGCCCATGGCAGATTAGGGGCCTGCAGCAGCAGCTATGGGAGGCCCGTAATCTGCCAGCACCCTATGTCAAAAAATTCAACACACCAGCAGTGTGTGAGGAGACCTGAAAGTGGCACATGGCAGAGTGTGTGGATGGAGACAGCAGCAATGGGAGGCCGTACAGGGACCCATGACAGACTCTGGACCTGGCAGCAGCATGAGGAGGCGGTATATAGGGGCCATGGCAGATTAGGGGCCTGGCAGCAGCTATGGGAGGCCCGTAATCTGCCAGCACCCTATGTCAAAAAATTCAACAACACACCAGCAGTGTGTGAGGAGACCTGAAAGTGGCACATGGCAGAGTGTGGCGATGGAGACAACCCACCGACTGTTTTGCTCGCTGCCAAGCTGCCACCCTCTTCTCCTGATGATGCGGAAGCAATAGCCCTGATGACGACGAGGCTGCCAAGTGCGATCAGCCTCATCATCATCAATTAGGGTCTCCGCCTCACTACTAGCCCCCTCGGCTGCGTGTGGGTCAGGAGACAGACCTGTCTCTACACGGCTACCGAGCCACTCTCCTCGCCACTACTTCTTCGCCTGGCTGCTGAAGAGGCGGATGTCTCCCCCCGTTCCTGACCGCCCTCTGTTAGCTCTTCCTCACTGTACTGGATGACACCGGGAGCACTAGCCTCTGGCTGCGAATAGTGCTGCCTCGACCCCTTCCTCTGCTGCCACGTCTGCTCGCCCTAAAACATTGCCTCCTCTGCCACTCCTCTGCATGTTGTCTGACATACTCTTAAATAAAAACGATTCTGTGTCCCTGAGTAACAATTCTGTGTCCCTGAGTAACGTTTCTGTGGCCCTGAGTAACAGTTTTCTGTGGCCCTAAGTAACAGTTCTGTGGCCCTCAGTAACATTCTGTGGCCCTCAGTAACATTCTGTGTCTGGCCCTAAGTAACAATTCTGTGTCCCTCAGTAACAATTCTGTGTCCCTCAGTAACAATTCTGTGTCCCTCAGTAACAATTCTGTGGTCCCTGAGTAACAATTCTGTGTACCCCCTGAGTAACAATTCTGTGTCCCTCAGTAACAATTCTGTGTCTGGTCCCCAGTAACAATTCTGTGTCTGTCCCTGAGTAACAATTCTGTGTCTGTCCCTCAGTAACAATTCTGTGTCCCTGAGTAACAATTTTCTGTGGCCCTAAGTAAAGGTTCTGTGGCCCTCAGTAACAATTCTGTGTCCCTGAGTAACAATTCTGTGTCTGTGTCGTGCCTGAGTAACAATTCTGTGGCCCTAAGTAACGGTTCTGTGGCTCCCTCAGTAACAATTCTGTGTCCCTGAGTAACAATTCTGTGTGTCCCTCAGTAACAATTGTTCTGTATCCCTCAGTAACAATTCTGTGTCCCTAAGTAACAATTCTGTGTCTGTCCCTGAGTAACAATTCTGTGGTCCCTGAGTAGTAAATGTTTCTGTGGCCCTAAGTAACGTTTTCTGTGGCCCTCAGTAACAATTCTGTGTCCCTCAGTAACAATTCTGTGTCTGTCCCTGAGTAACAATTCTGTGTCCCCCTGAGTAACAATTCTGTGTCCCTGAGTAACAATTCTGTGGCCCTAAGTAACAATTCTGTGTCCCTCAGTAACAATTCTGTGTCTGTCCCTGAGTAACAATTCTGTGTCTGTCCTGAGTAACAATTCTGTGTCCCTGAGTAACGTTTCTGTGGCCCTAAGTAACAATTCTGTGGCCCTCAGTAACAATTCTGTGTCTGCCCTGAGTAACAATTCTGTGTGTCTGTCCCTGAGTAACAATTCTGTGTCCCTGAGTAACGTTTCTGTGCCCTCAGTAACAATTCTGTGGCCCTCAGTAACAATTCTGTGGCCCTGAGTAACAATTCTGTGTCTGTCCCTGAGTAACAATTCTGTGTCTGTCCCTGAGTAACAATTCTGTGTCCCTAAGTAACAATTCTGTGCCCTCCCTGAGTAACAATTCTGTGGTCCCCCTCAGTAACAATTCTGTTCTGTCCCTGAGTAACAATTCTGTGGCCCTAAGTAACGGTTTCTGTGGCCCTCAGTAACAATTCTGTGTCCCTCAGTAACAATTCTGTGTCCCTGAGTAACAATTCTGTGTCTGTCCCTGAGTAACAATTCTGTGGCCCTAAGTAATTCTGTGGCCCTCAGTAACAATTCTGTGTCCCTGAGTAACAATTCTGTGGCCCTAAGTAACAATTCTGTGGCCCTCAGTAACAATTCTGTGTCCCTGAGTAACAATTCTGTGGCCCTAAGTAAGTAACGTTCTGTGGCCCCTCAGTAACAATTCTGTGTCCCTCAGTAACAATTCTGTGTCTGTCCCTCAGTAACAATTCTGTGTCCCTCTGAGTAACAATTCTGTGTCTGTCCCTGAGTAACAATTTCTGTGGCCCTAAGTAACATTCTGTGGCCCTCAGTAACAATTCTGTGGCCCTCAGTAAACAATTCTGTGTCCCTGAGTAACAATTCTGTGGCCCTCAGTAACAATTCTGTGCCCTGAGTAACAATTCTGTGTGTCCCTGAGTAACAATTCTGTGCCCTAAGTAACAATTCTGTGTCCCCTGAGTAACAATTCTGTGGCCCTAAGTAACAATTCTGTGGCCCTCAGTAACAATTCTGTGTCTGCCCTCAGTAGTAACAATTCTGTGTCTGTCCCTGAGTAACAATTCTGTGGCCCTAAGTAACGGTTCTGTGGCCCTCAGTAACAATTCTGTGTCCCCTGAGTAACAATTCTGTGGCCCTAAGTAACGGTTCTGTGGCCCTCAGTAACAATTCTGTGTCCCTGAGTAACAAATTCTGTGGCCCCTAAGTAACAATTCTGTGTCCCTCAGTAACAATTCTGTCCCTCAGTCCCTCAGTAACAATTCTGTGTCTGTCCCTGAGTAACAATTCTGTGGCCCTAAGTAATTCGTTTCTGTGGCCCTGAGTAACAATTCTGTGTCCCTGAGTAACAATTCTGTGGCCCTCAGTAACAATTCTGTGGCCCTCAGTAGTAACTGTTCTGTCCCTCAGTAACAATTCTGTGTCCCTCAGTAACAATTCTGTGTCCCTCAGTAACAATTCTGTGTCCCCTCAGTAACAATTCTGTGTCCCTCAGTAACAATTCTGTGTCCCTCAGTAACAATTCTGTGTCCCTGAGTAACAATTCTGTGTCTGTCCCTGAGTAACAATTCTGTGTCTGTCCCTGAGTAACAATTCTGTGGCCCTAAGTAACGGTTCTGTGGCCCTCAGTAAACAATTCTGTGTCCCTGAGTAACAATTCTGTGTCTGTCCCTGAGTAACAATTCTGTGGCCCTAAGTAACGGTTCTGTGGCCCTCAGTAACAATTCTGTGTCCCTGAGTAACAATTCTGTGTCCCTCAGTAACAATTCTGTGGCCCTCAGTAACAATTCTGTGTCCCTCAGTAACAATTCTGTGTCTGTGGCCCTGAGTAACAATTCTGTGTCTGTCCCTGAGTAACGTTTCTGTGGCCCTAAGTAAACGGTTCTGTGGCCCTCAGTAACAATTCTGTGTCCCTGAGTAACAATTCTGTGTCTGTGGCCCTGAGTAACAATTCTGTGTCTGTCCCCTCAGTAACAATTCTGTGTCCCTGAGTAACAACGTTTCTGTGGCCCTAAGTAACAATTCTGTGGCCCTCAGTAACAATTCTGTGTCTGTCCCTGAGTAACAATTCTGTGTCTGTCCCTGAGTAACAATTCTGTGTCCCTGAGTAACGTTTCTGTGGCCCTAAGTAACAATTCTGTGGCCCTCAGTAACAATTCTGTGTCTGTCCCTGAGTAACAATTCTGTGTGTCGCCCTGAGTAACAATTCTGTTCTGTGGCCCTGAGTAACGTTTCTGTGGCCCTAAGTAACAATTCTGTGGCCCTCAGTAACAATTCTGTGTCTGTCCCTGAGTAACAATTCTGTGTTCTGTCCCTGAGTAACAATTCTGTGTCCCTGAGTAACGTTTCTGTGGCCCTAAGTAACAATTCTGTGGCCCTCAGTAACAATTCTGTGTCTGTCCCTGAGTAACAATTCTGTGGCCCTAAGTAAAATTCTGTGGCCCTCAGTAACAATTCTGTGTCCCTCAGTAATTCAATTCTGTCTGGCCCTCAGTAACAATTCTGTGTCTGTCCCTGAGTAACAATTCTGTGGCCCTAAGTAACGTTTCTGTGGCCCTCAGTAACAATTCTGTGTCCCTGAGTAACAATTCTGTGGCCCTAAGTAACGGTTCTGTGGCCCTCAGTAACAATTCTGTGTCCCTGAGTAACAATTATGTGGCCCTAAGTAACAGTTCTGTGTCCCTCAGTAACAATTCTGTGTCCCTCAGTAACAATTCTGTGTCTGTCCCTGAGTAACAATTCTGTGGCCCTAAGTAACGGTTCTGTGGCCCTCAGTAACAATTCTGTGTAACAATAACTTCTGTGTCCCTGAGTAACAATTCTGTGGCCCTAAGTAACAATTCTGTGGCCCTCAGTAACAATTCTGTGTCCCTGAGTAAAATTCTGTGGCCCTAAGTTTCTGTGGCCCTCAGTAACAATTCTGTGTCCCTGAGTAACAATTCTGTGGCCCTAAGTAACGGTTTCTGTGGCCCTCAGTAACAATTCTGTGGCCCTCAGTAACAATTCTGTGTCTGCCCTGAGAGTAACAATTCTGTGGCCCTAAGTAACGGTTTCTGTGGCCCTCAGTAACAATTCTGTGTCCCTGAGTAACAATTCTGTGGCCCTAAGTAACGGTTCTGTGGCCCTCAGTAACAATTCTGTGTCCCTGAGTAACAATTCTGTGGCCCTAAGTAACGGTTCTGTGGCCCTCAGTAACAATTCTGTGGCCCTCAGTACAACAATTCTGTCTGTCCCTGAGTAACAATTCTGTGGCCCTAAGTAACGTTTCTGTGGCCCTCAGTAACAATTCTGTGGCCCTGAGTAACAATTCTGTGGCCCTAAGTAACGGTTTTCTGTGGCCCTCAGTAACAATTCTGTGGCCCTCAGTAACAATTCTCTGTGTCCCCCTGAGTAACAATTCTGTGGCCCTAACTAACGTTTCTGTGGCCCTAAGTAACAGTTCTGTGGCCCTCAGTAACAATTCTGTGGCCCTCAGTAACAATTCTGTGTCCCTGAGTAACGTTTCTGTGGCCCTAAGTAACATTTCTGTGGCCCTCAGTAACAATTCTGTGTCTGTCCCTGAGTAACAATTCTGTGGCCCTAACTAACGTTTCTGTGGCCCTAAGTAACAGTTCTGTGGCCCTCAGTAACAATTCTGTGTCTGTCCCTGAGTAACAATTCTGTGGCCCTAACTAACGTTTCTGTGGCCCTAAGTAACAATTCTCTGGCACTCAGTAACAATTCTGCCTGTCCCTGAGTAACAATTCTGTGGCCCTAACTAACGTTTCTGTGGCCCTAAGTAACAGTTCTGTGGCCCTCAATAACAATTCTGTGTCTGTCCCTGAGTAACAATTCTGTGGCCCTAACTAACGTTTCTGTGGCCCTAAGTAACAATTCTCTGGCACTCAGTAACAATTCTGTCTGTCCCTGAGTAACAATTCTGTGGCCCTAATAACGTTTCTGTGGCCCTAAGTAACAGTTCTGTGGCCCTCAGTAACAATTCTGTGTCTGTCCCTGAGTAACAATTCTGTGGCCCTAACTAACGTTTCTGTGGCCCTAAGTAACAATTCTCTGGCACTCAGTAACAATTCTGTCTGTCCCTGAGTAACAATTCTGTGGCCCTAACTAGCATTTCTTTGGCCCTATGTAACGATTCTGTGGCCCTCATTAACAATTCTGTGTCCCTGAGTAATGCTTCTCTGTCCCTAAGTAACGTTTCTCTGTCCCCAAGTAACGTTTCTGTGGCCCAACTCTGTCCCTAATACAGAGCGGTCTGCCTCTCTTGAATGACTGGAGGCAAATGAAGAATTCTAAAATGGCCGCTATTTATAGCTCGACCATTACACAGTGCTGGCTGCCTGGCTGCTGATTGGCTAATGCGATCACATGTCATTAAGGAATGCATTATGGGTCAGCGCGCCTTGTCTGCGCGCCTTCCCAGACATCCCCGCTCCGTCGCCGCACATGTCCGCCGCCATTTTAGGAAAAATTTCGATTCGCGCGTCCGAAGTAGGCTATTTTTCGGATTCGGCGCGAATCGAAAATTTTCCAATATTCGACTCGAATTCCACTTCGCCTACTTCCATTCGCTCATCTCTAGTTCCAACCATTATATCTTCCTTATCTTGTGAATCAGGACAGGGGCAGACTGACAACTCATGGGGCCCCCGGGCAATAGGGGATCATGGGGCCCCTGTGTCCTTGCCCAAACTCAAAAAAGCCTATGAAAAAGGTACCAGGGGCATCTCATGGGGCCCCCTACTGACCCCGGGCCCTCGGGCAGTGCCTGAGTTTCCAAATGGTCAGTCAGTCCGCCCCTGAATCAGGATTAAAGCCACTATCTTGGGAAAGGGAAAGTCATCCCTTTAAGTGGGACCACCCCCACACTGCAAGGGTTAAATGCTTGTTAAGGTCTAGGGTACCAAAAAACCTACTTTTACTGACCGATTACGCTGCTCCTCTGGCAGCCGGCACTCTCCTCTACTCCCTTATGCTCCAGCAGTGGACTGTTCCTCAGAGTCCTAACATCCAATGTAGGCTATGGTCCCTGTATTGTACTTGACCTGCGACCATCAGAATGTAGGGGAGAAGATGCTGCGAGGAGAGGTCTAGCAGCATGGAGAGAGCTTGCAGGCATATCACATTAAAATTGCCACATCACCATCCACTGCAATGTGTACTTACTGAACAGCACCACTGTAGGTGGCTAAAAAATGTAGATCAACTGCCTGTTTTTACTGCCCCCCTAGCCACCAGTGCGAGAAGAGACCAAGGGAGGAGTTTTGTTTTCTCCAGAATTCAGCTTTAAAGTAAATCAGTAGTAATAGGAAGGATGCCATTGCTGAACTTCTTTTGAAATTTTTAGCTAGCTTCCTGTCTCTGGTTTCCATATTCTGAGACCATGACCTATCATCCTTATCCAGCCAAGTACCTTGTGAGTCACTAGTTCAGAAAAAAAGCATGAATGCATGAATTGGACTCCTTAGAACAACAGAGTGTGCAAAGGACACCAAAAAGCCTTGCATTTTTAACATAACAGGTATTTTTTTGCAGATATAAAGAATATCTCCAATAGTGTTATTAACAGATCAAAAGGTAACAAATAGGAAAAGTTCCCTGTAAGGGTTTACATACTTTCATTTGGACTTACACATGAATGTGAGCGTCTATATGTGATTTTGGGGCTTTTTTGTGCATAATTGTTGTTTTTTTGCATGCTTTTCTGGCTTGAGATCTTTTGTTTTCGCTAATGGAAAGCTCATTACTAGGAGGAAAAGGAAACCGTAATTAGGCATAACCACATAAAAAATGCACATTTTCAGGTGCTCACACTGAAGTCTATTGGGTCCAAAATCCTGCGATCATGCTCTGTGACAGTACAAATGTGAATGGGCACAATCAAACAACATGGAAAGCTGGTGTCCAGCATTGAAGTTCTTCTGGAACAGGGGTGGACTGACCATTTGGAAACTCGGGCACTGCCCGGGGGCCCAGGGTCAGTAGGGGGCCCCATGAGATGCCCCTGGTACCTTTTTCATAGGCTTTTTGAGTTTGGGCAAGGACACAGGGGCCCCATGATCCCCTATTGCCCGGGGGCCCCATGAGTTGTCAGTCCACCCCTGTTCTGGAAACACACTTTTTAAATCATTCAGGTGTGAATGGGGGCTTAATTGTGGGATGATGGGAAAAGGAAGAAGTACAGTATGTAGACAATCTGACTTGACAATGGTGGTCTACAACAAAGAAAGTAAGTTTAATTGGTTGGCCTGGACTTTTGCTCTGAGAACGCCATCGCTGTTCCCTATCCTGCTATCCAAAAGCTACAATTCTTGATATAAACAGTGACATAAAAAAGACAGCATTACAACTTCTCTGAACACAGTGACATAGTAAACAAGACAGATCACTTGCTGTGTACTGCAACATCACAAAAAAAGCATTGGTAGAAAAATCTCATTCTGAGTAAAGTTTAAAATACTTTCTAAGGAATATTTACTGTCATAAGACATCAATCACCGAGACTGTACCACTCAATGTGTTACTGTTCAGCACGACTGCCCTTTCCAACTAAGGCACATGAAAGAATTCCTGACAGCCAACATAACAGATTCAAAAGCCTATTTTATAAATGCGAGGCAACAAATAGAAAGCATTAGTTTGAGTCACAATCAAAAAATACTTCAGTGTTGACAAATCTCCTCTTCTGATAACCTCTGCGGCCAACGCCTGTTATTTGGAAATTCATAATTTTGCTGCAACTATCTGATGCAGCCATCTGTGCCCTAAAGTGGGAACTGATTAATGTAAAACAGAAAGATGGAATATTCAGGAGGCTTTTACATTTGAAGACGGTGTACTTCCATGTCAGTGGATCCTTTTAACACAGTGATGATACCAAAAGGGCAGGTAAAAATTTTTTTTGCTTGTAGATGAGAAAACTTTGACTGGATTACTCAGGATATCGGAACTCGTTGAGTTTATCCAACTGTACTTAGGAAAATCTATTGTTAGACTTTATCCAGTTCTTTCTCCTATGGGACAAAGTACATGTAGTACCTTGCCCCATGTTTCTAAGTGCTTTCTAACCCTAATTATGAGATCCAACCTACCCCCCTCCTCTCCTGCAGCAGCCGATTCAACTACAGCTATGAAGGTAACGGCTGATTCATAGCTGCAGCCTGCATCTCTGAGACAAGCAATGGCAAGAACAATGCAGAGGTTGACAGATCCCCCCTCTCTCTGCATTCTTCTTGCTGTTGCTTGTCTTGGGAAAGCACTCATAGCCGAGATAAGCTTCAGCTATGAATCATCCACCCCCAGGAGGGAAGTGGGGAAGGTCATACCTTATAACTATGGTTGGTTAGAAAGTAATTAGGCGGAACTATAAAATTAAAATGATAAATTATACATCTACTGCAATCTAATTTAAGATTAAATAGACTTTTTTTTCAAATAAAACAGAGTGTATACCCTACACACAAACAAACAGACTAGCAACAAGGGTCTACTGTATTTCCTAATTGTACACTTCATTATGACTTGCAGTTAGCTGTGCTAGGAACATGTGATAATAGGAGTCAGCTGAAGGACTCAGAGGAGGTACATACCCCCTCTCTTGAAAGAGATGGAGCCCTTTCAAAGTTCAGGTTATACAAACAAAGTAAATCAGCAGGGTCCTTCACCAGTACTGCAATTAAAAGACTGGAGTTGTTCTGATGTAAGACAAGAGGTACTGTATATAACATGCATGGAGGAATTGCATATAAAAAGTATCCTTGGTGTAAAGCACCATTTTTATATAGTGATAGATCATTTTAAACTATGCCAAGAATAATACACAGCTTTTAACTGGTGGATGCGTGCGCATTTGTCATTGATTTAAGCTGTCTAAAAAGTCTTAGTTCAAAGGCATATGTAACCTTTGGTCTACCTAAGAAAGCCCAGCACTAGCTCTACACTTTTAGTTGCTCCTGTAGACTGAGAATCTAGAGGGCGTCTCTGTCCAGAGTACAACCCTGGCTGTCCTGATCAGGTAGGAACTTAACTAAAGGGCTAAAAGGGATCAGCCTTCTCCTCATTAGTAATTGTATCATCTTAAATAATGTCATAGCTTCTTGGTTACTGCTATTATTGCTTTTATAGGACCATATTGCTAATGACCTCCACAATACCTGGAGCAGCAGTGTCCATACAAATAGCAGATATATCCCAGTCTTCTAAACTTCCACTACCTAAACTGCAGTGCAAACTTCATGCTGCAAGACCTGTTTTCTCTCCTACACTCTATTACTTGGAGCATAGCAGACAGATAATGGGAAAAAGCATATACCATGGGTTGGAGTTTTTTATTTATCAAATAAGTATTGGTTCACCAAGATTAGATTGACTTTTCAGGCATCTGATAGACACACGATGATAAAAAAAGGCCAACAAGCTATGAATCCAATTGGGCAAAGTTTATTCAAAATAGCATAGTGAACAAGACTGAACTCTTGGTGTTCTGGCAACACACTACCACCATTGGTCATGGCCTTGATATTGGCTCTTGAGGTTGGTATGTGCATTGATAAGTATAGAGGCATGTACACTCATAGCGCATTCACATTCATCATTTTTTGTTCGTCTCTAAGAGAACTTTAGAATAAAAATGTGAGTACCAGTCAGATAATCAAAATGTTGTTTGGTGGTCAGATGCTATGTTTTTTGATTTTTCAGAGATAAAG